TAAGCTCTTCACTGTGTGTGGCTAATAATTGAAAACGTATGGAATCCATAGCAGGGTTTTGTTCAGAAATCGGACATTGTCGGCTCTTTGTAGAATTCTATATTTTAGAACTAGTTAGGTTTTAAGGTTATATATATATCCTACTACTAGGCGCGTCCACCAGGTGGCGGATGGTGAAAGGGCCTCTAGATATAGAGGTTAGCCACGAATATATTGAATAAGTGGCCGTGGGCCAAAACAGGTGATGGTCATTGAGAGGAGGCGAGTTAGTTGGTGGGACAGCTAACTCTATAAAATACCTCAAAACTCTACGACATGGCCATCGGCCGGTAAAAGACGCCATAACCTCTCCCCCCTGCTGCCTTGCAGGGTAAGTCTCTTTAGACAAAGGCTATTGGAGTGGAAAGTGGAAGAATGGGCCTCAGTTTGAATAATGGGAAGACAGAAGTAATGGTGGTATCAAAGAAACGAATTATTCCTAAGTATGTAATAAAAGTTGATGGTGTTATTTTAGGACAAGTACAGAAATTTAAGTATCTGGGCACATGGATAACATCAGATGGAAGACATAAATAAGAAGACATAAGAGATATTTCTGGGCAAGCATTAGCAACAAAAGTTGAAAGATAAATAAGATGGCGATATATTGGACACATCCTGAGAAGAAACAAGCAGAGAATCGGCAGACAGACTGCGCAACGGGAAATAAATTGACTGAGGAGGCAATGACGTCAAAACACGCACACACACACACGCGCGCGCGCGCACACAAACACGCACACAGACACGCGCGCGCACACACACAGACGCACACACACTTGATGAGACAGGCCAGGAGCGCTGGGCTGGATTCCGTCTATGATACTGCATCGACTGCACAGCCTAGGACAGAATGGACGGATAGCCTGCCAGCCACATGTGATATAAAGTGGTACAACAGGACAATGTGGATGATGATGATGATGATGATATGCGTTTCTTTTGGATCGTTGATTAATATTACTCCAACCCTAAAGCTTCACCAGTTCTGAAGTGTGTAGAATTCAACAAATAATCAAAGAGTTAGAGAAAATAACAAGGTAGCCTCTGCCTTCTGAACAAAACATTCGTGGCAGACCTTCGAAAATGAGGGTAGACTTGAGTTGAGTCAAGAATTGACATCACAGCACCTGAGGTATTCCCAGGCACGTTCCGTCCTCATTTTCAGTAGCCAAGGCGCAGTTCCAATACTGATAATACCGGTCACATGATGGTTATATGTCCGTCTTGCCTTTTCTCTGAGTGTAGTGAGCAGGCCAGATCCTCTGGTTACACCCAGGTGCCTCATTCCCTACAGGCAATAATAATCGTCTTTCTCTACTGATTCCGCTGCTTGTTCCCAAAGAGCTTTAAACATGCCAGTGGTGCAGATCCAGCCAATCTGTCTGCCTGTTCATTACCCATCACACCGGAATATCCTGGAGAAAAGTGGTACAACAGGACGGTGATAATGATGATGATTATATGCACTTCTCTCGGATCGTTGATTCATATAACTCCCACCCTAAAGCTTAACCAGTCCTGAAGTATGTAGAATTAAAAAAAAAAAAAAACAATCAAACAGTTAGAGAAACTAGCTAGGTGACCTCCGCCTTCTGAACAACACGCTCGAGGCAGTTCTTCGGTTATAATGGTCCACAAGAGTTGGCTAATCGAGAAACACTGGTCTAGATGGTTATTTAATAATCTACAAGTAGTCGTTGCTATGGTGGCTACAACAGAACCTACGGTATCTCTATACATAGGGCTGAAATTTCTTAATATGTTGTTGATGTTGGTTCTAAGAGTACAACTCTCTGCGGCTGGTCGAACGGTTAGAATGCTGGGCTCTCAAGGCGGAGACCCGGGTGCGAATCCTCGGTAAGGCTGGAGATTTTTTTTTTCTGTCGGGGGCAAAATAAAATCCTCACCTGCACAGTCGTGGCGACAACACTAGCCATGCGGCAATAAATCCCCAGTCTCAAAGACCCCCTCCCCCTCTCTACGCCGCAAAAGTAGTAAAATAAAGGCAGTAATGTGCAGTTTTTAAGCAGATGTTGGTCTGAATACTACTAGACCTTCTACCTTTGGCAACCCCATACGATTCTTGAGAAGATGAAAGTATATAGCTTAGACAAGATATAAACAATTTTACTTCTATGAAAAAAAAAATTAAAACATATGTTCTTACTTTTGTTATCATAAATGAAAATAATAAATATAATATGTCAAAGCTTCTGTTATCTTAACATATCTGACTATACTGATACATGCTGCAGGAGATCGCAGAATATGGCGAGGCATGTTCGCCCACGCCAGTCGGCAAGGCACCTAATGATGAGGATGACGATGATGATGATTTGACTAGACGATGTTTCACTCATAATTATTTTTTCCATCCACAGAGCCCATTTGAACGATCTGGAAAATGTTGTTCCATTTGCCCTGCTAGGTCTTTTGTACGTGACAACAGGGCCCAGTCTGGACACCGCAAATCTTTACTTCAGGATTTTTACTGCCAGTCGCTTCATTCACACTTTTGCCTACCTCTTTGCTATTCCTCAGCCAACCAGAGCGCTGGCGTTTTACGCCGGATTTGGAGTGAACATTGCATTTGCTTTTAACATCTTGAGGCAGGCATCTTTCTAGATTTCCTGACCAAATCTTGCTTTTCATGTTTAAATACATTTTATTATTGTTTTGATAATTTGATTTCTATCGTGGAAAGCATAATGTTTCAACATCTAAGGAATGAGAACATTTTTTATATACTTTTATTAAGGCCACTTTTTGTTTTGTCTGTTCAAAACGCTGCCTTCGATTTCCATACTAAATAGACTACTGAGCTCAAATATTGCACCCACATACTCTTTGGGGATGATAATGCACTGTGGTGCAATAATATTCTATTAACATGATTGGGAACGAATATTTTCTCTTAAAACTCAATTGCTAACAGAAACATACACCTGGTGATTAATAATATCCCCCCCTCCCCGCCCCCTTTCCACTTTGACAATAAGCAAAAGAGTCAAATACATTTTTTTAATATTTTATTTTGGGTAAACTAGCGGACCACTTGAGGTAAATATCTAAAAATGTCTCTATTTTAGTTTTTACAGAAATAATAGTAAAATGACGTAGAAAGTTATCGTAATTATTTCCCCTTGATTGATAATTACATATTCCTTCGCAGGACTAATACAAACTACAATTATGTTATGAAATGCCGAGGACCATCGAAAGCTCAGTTCCCATACACTAAGAAAAGTACACAGACAAGATAGATAATTGATATACAGAGTATAATAACTTGAACAATATGCACAGAGAGCATGCATGACTGATAAAATGTGTGGGAATTCACTGAATTCTCCACATGTTATCACATTGATGCTCATATGTGAATTGATAACTTTATACACAGAGAGCGTACATGACTGATAAAATGTGTGGGAATTCACAGATTTTACTGTATTCTTCACATGTTATCACATTGATGCTCATTTGTGAACTGATAAATTTAATAATATACACAGAGAGCATGTATGACTGATATAATGTGTGGGAATTCACTATTCTTGCTGAATTCTCCACATGTTATCACATTGCTGCTCATATGTGAACTGATAACTCTAATAATATACACAGAAAGCATGTATGACTGATCTAATGTGTGGGAATTCACTATTCTTGCTGAATTCTTCACATGTTATCACATTGCTGCTTGAGTGTGAACTGATAACTTTAATAATATACACAGAGAGCATGTATGACTGATCTAATGTGTGGGAATTCACTATTCTTGTTGAATTCTCCACATGTTATCACATTGCTGCTTGAGTGTGAACTGATAACTTTAATAATATACACAGAGAGCATGTATGACTGATCTAATATGTGGGAATTCACTATTCTTGTTGAATTCTCCACATGTTATCACATTGCTGCTTGAATGTGAACTTATAAACAAAATACACAGAGAGCATGTATGACTGATCTAATGTGTGGGAATTCACTATTCTTGCTGAATTCTTCACATGTTATCACATTGCTGCTTGAGTGTGAACTGATAACTTTAATAATATACACAGAGAGCATGTATGACTGATATAATGTGTGTGAATTCACTGTTCTTCTGAATTCTCCACATGTTATCACATTGCTGCTTGTATGTGAACTGATAAACAAAATACACTGAGAGCATGCATGTTTGATATGCTGCGTATGAATTTAATGAATTCTCCATAGCTGACCTCACTGCAGCTCGAATGTGAGCTGATAAATTGAAAAAAAAAAATTTAAAAAAAAATTTAAAAAAAAATAAAAAGATACACAGACAGGATGCATGACTGATGTACTGTGAATGAAATCACTGAATTCACAACAGCAGCTATCACTGCTGCTCACATGTGAACCAATACAATAATAACAGTACAGAGACAGCATGGATGGTTGAAATACAGTATGTCAACTGAGCATAGCTTCTCCAATTAGTGCTCACATGTGAAACGATGAACAAGAAAAAATGTGTAATTCTGCAACATATATAACGTCTTTTTATTTAATTTTTAACATTTACATGAATAATAAAAAAAAAATAAAAAGCTGTTTTTTTTTTTTTTTTAAACAATGTGATTTGTCAGAGAGATCTAAATGTTCAAACGCACTTGTCCCGAAACAAAGATTGAGTACACAAAGTGACTCCGATGTAGTGCCAGCCATGGTAATCAGCATTATGCCTGCCAATTGTTTGTGTTTACCTCCCATTACATGTCCTCGTACCTTTTTATATGAGGTCCATCTCATAGCCCAGGTCAACGTTTGAAACTGAGTCTTGGTGGGACTTGAACCCGCTATTTTTGTGTTGGCGGTTACACGTGTTAGTCTCGGCAAAGCAAGGATTTCCATCATGACAAACAGTTATAGTTCTCTATAGTGTAAGTGATATTCAAAAACGTTCTTTACAGATAAAGCACATTTTGTGAAAGCTTACTGGGATATATTAATTTAGTTTAACGTACCTAGCTTCCCGTTTTTTAGGATGAAATTTCTCGTTATTTGAAGCCCTACTCCGGCTTTTTCCAGGGGCCGCCATATAGCCTGGCCATAAATTTGGCCTAAAGGCTGAACGCGGTTTCTGTGATCTCTCCACGGTGATCCTCACCCGCATTGTGGCACATTGTGTCATTGGGTGTTTATCGCTTGTATGATGGATGTCCTGTTGGGGTAGAAAGTCAGTCAGTCATTAATTTAGTAAACATTACAGCGACTTAATGTTGTTGAAGTAATCGTCTCCTTGTGAGATGAAATTTTTCGTTATTTGAAGCTCCACCCTGGCTTTTGCCGGGTTGCCCTAACTATACCCGGGCTATATTTTAATATGGCCTAATGGCTGAGCGGGGTTTCTGGGACCTTTCCACGGGTGATCCTCATCCGCATGGTGGTACTTTGTGTCACCGTGTGTTTATTGTTTGTGTGATGTCCTGGTGGGTCCTGGTGGGGTATAATTTTCTTACTCATTTACATTGATACTTATATAATCAGAGTTAAGCCATCCCGATATTGGATGCAACTTTTTCGCTTTTTTTTAAAGCCCTACCTCGGCTGTAGTCAGGGGCCATAATATAACCCAACCTATGGGTTGAACGGGGTTTATGGGACTTGTACCCGGGTGATCCTCATCCGAATGGTGGCATTTTGTGTCACTGAGTGTTGGTCGCTCGTTGTACGGTTTTGTTGAGGTTAAACGACAACAGCGACACTAGACTTCAGGTAATTTGGTAACCCAGTTCAACTGTGCTATATGGCTACAATATTGAACGGGCTTTGTGGGAACTGTACACGTTTGATTCTGATAATCCTACAGCTGTAATCTTGAAGGTGAAAGAATCGTTATCTTCTTCTTCGCGTTCACCGGCTGTAAACTTGTCACATACCGCTAGTGTCGCGTGTCGAATTTAAGGATTTCTCCTTACGAACCAACAGCACTCTGAAATAGGGTAATGTTGAGGCGTCGGCTCGTATTGGTCTAAGGGATATCCCGTGGCCAATAAACGCTCAATCTATTTCAGGAGTAGGGCAACTCAAGTTATGGCACTACAGAATATCTAATATTCCTAGGCGCAACTTGGCTGGACACCCCCACTACTATAAAAAGATAGCCCCCAGGCTATGATAGTATACTATCACAGACATGCTAACACATACTAAGATTATTAATCACACAACCATAAAAGCTAAACAGTTTGAACATTGAATGATGGACACTCAAGTCAATAATGAAAATTTCTGAACATGTAATAAATGCAACCCATACATTATATAAGAATCAGCAAAGAACTTCAAGAACTCAGAGTGATATGAAGGACCAAAACTTCAAAACAGATCTGACTGATTCTGTAAGAGATTCCCAAAAAGTCCACCTAGATCATCATTATGATCATGTGGACGATTAATAGTGAAGCCTGGCAATAAACCAACGATTGACCACACTTATCTGAATCCCTGGTTTCTTAAACTTGCTGGATGTTCAGTCACTCTGTGGTTACACTGAAGACAGTCCCACACTAGACACTCGAACACTGGAGATACACCCCAGCTCCTGGAGAGGATCTCGGATATCAAGTCAATCACGTGAGCTACAAACAAGCTACCGGATAAATGATGGTGAAGGTACAACACCCATAATGTTGTCTGTAGACCAACTGGAGGATTCCAGTTAATGGATGACAAAAGTTTGGTTTACAGTCTGATGCCCACCACTGGCTTAGACATAGGTAACTTCCCTGATGGTTGTTTTGTGGACCGCTGGTTCACTGCCTGGCCTCCAAGGAGATATCATCCTGCATCAAGAAGGAACTCAGAATTGGCAGTCATCTCAGGGGTTACATGTCAAGCTCAGTTTATTAACATCCACATTAGTAATCATTCAGAGAACAGCTCTTAGGATAATGAGACAGTATAAGTCTCCAAATATCATCTCTGTCGGTCAGTCAGTAACAGGAACAGAAGACGAGTACCAGAGTGGAGACAGATAGACTCTAACAAACATAGAAAATCAACTCTCCTCGCCCACCCCTGCACTTGTAGATACACATCCCATCTCTCTCTCTCTCCCATATATATTTTATACCATCCCCCGTCTGCTCATCGCACAAACTGTTTTGTTGTGTCAGCTAAAATTAACCTCTGACGTCACAGCGTCTTGTATGATGAAGTGTGACCCAGTTAAATATGTCCGCTAATTGACTCAAACTCGGTCGGTTCGTTACAGAATAATTAACTTGCTAGGTTTAATATATTTAAAATGGTATTGGGTCAAGTAGGGCACAAACTATCAGGTTGCGAAGGGAAAGGTTTGATTTCAGGGGCTTGAGTGTCTGGACACCAAGAACGGCCTAGTTCTGTGACCCAGCTGAATCTTCCCTCCCTGCAGCAGCGGCTAACTTTACAGAGACATATATCATTGTACTCGTAAACTATAATCAACTTACCCAAGCTTAGGAATCCTTCAACGATTAAACTAGTATTTTGAATGCGCCAAGATTTAATCAGAGAGGTTAAAAGCTTCTGCACACATAGGAAGTCAGACAAAGAATGACCCCGCCTGATCTAGCTTGGCATCTCTAAAAAAAAAGTCCCGTATT